TCAGCGTTCGAAAATGAGTGTAATGGTGTACATCTCGTCTCAAAAGGCCACGGACATTGAGTATCGTTTCCTTGTTAGATACGCAGAGGCCCGCTTTCAAGTGGCGTGCGGGCCCCAGCACAAAAATTTTCATTTGTCCCTGTCCCTTGCTTCAAACATCCACGATCTTTTTGGTTGCGTCTACACATCGCAGGCTTTGTCACTTTTGCTCACGGAGCCAGCGCCATCGTTCGATTAAGCAGCTAAGCCGAGAACGCGCCGTCGGATTTGGCACAGGGTTTTTAGCAAAATGATATGTTTTGCGATACAATGCGAGCTGTATCTTAGGTTGAGAGTGTGTGGCATATCTGGAAAATACGCTCAATTTGGAATTCCCAAAATCAGTGAGGTAAACTAAGTACCTGTCTACCATAACAGGTGCGGTAGTAAGAACCATCACCTCTCCTTTATGCACACGATTCTCAATTGTTGCATTGTGATATCGCTAGGTCGCTCATCCTGAGCGGTTGTGTTCGCTTTCGCTCTCTTTTTTTTTCAGGTGTTCATTCCCTACGTGATTTACAGATCTTGTTCACCTTCCGGGGTAACACTAAAGAGTAACACTAAATTGCTTCTCGGCTACTTTGCATTCCATCTCCCTCCTATTTGAATTATTTGAGTTCTTTGAGGTTTTTTGTTTATTTCGTAGGATTTCATCAATCGATAGGGTGACCATGCCGCGAGTAAGTAGATCAGGCACTCAGCCTTCTTCTTCACGTACCGCAAAAAAAGGGTTTCTGAAGCTCCATCGCAAAACATCGCCGCAACTCATTTCAGCGGGTAATGTCGATTCCGTAGGCTAGGAAGAAGATAGGATAGCGACTTTTCCGTCTCTAAAATCATCGATTCGATTTTAGAACGTGACACGGATCCAGATAAGAAGATGATTCATGTTCTTAAATCGAAAATCCCTGTGGATCCCGAGGCTGAAAAAAGAAACCGCAGCATAGTACTGTCCGGCCTACCGGAGTCAGAAAGAACCTGGAAAGTCGCTTCTAGAACGGAAAGACGAACTTGAGCAAGGGGTGGCGAAGGTCTTGGAAGTCATGAAGTTAGATTGTTGGCCTTCGAAGATTTATCGCATGGGAAGGAGTGATGGGAATAGGCCGAGGCTCGTTAAGGTAGTTTTCCCCTCTCGTTCTTTCTGTAAGCAGGCCCTCTCTAGTGCTCATCTTCTGCGATCGGAGCTGCGGAATGTCTTCGTTCGTAGAAGTATGACAGCTGCAGGACGAACGATAAAATTTTAACTCAGGCAGACGGCAAGAGAGAAGAACGAAAGCAGGCCGACCAGAGAATGGGTAGTCTATCGAGGCGAGCTTAAGCACATTTCAGAATCTCCTAGACGCCCTCGGCAGGAAAACGCTTAAAATCCGCCCGACACTTGCGCCTATCTCAATTGTGTTCTTTTTAACTATCGAAGCTTAGTTAACAAGTTTCATCTACTTCACACTTTTCTATGCCTTCGTTCGCCCGATGTACTCTGTGTCACAGAGACTTGGCTGAGCAGTAAGATTTGCGACTCCGAGATCACCTTTGACCTTCCTTATCATCTTTTCCGCGCTGATCGAGTGGGCCGTAGCGGAGGAAGAGTATGCTGCTTCATCAAGGAGGATTTCGCCGTTGAGCGAGTTCGGTTTAACTCAGACTCCAGTTGGGATCTCCTTTGCCTAAACATCTTGTCAACCTTTTCTCTCTCTCACCTCTGCGGTTCATTAACATTTATCGGCATCGTCCTCCAATTCTCGAGATGACGCCACGTTAGCGAGTGCTACTCATGATTTTTGCTCTACACCTGCCTCGACTATTGTCTTATGTGATTATGATATCGATTTTCTAACTGTGATCAACATTCTGACAGTTGCCTTCTTTCTTTCCTTTTTGATTGCAACCTCGTCCAAAAAGTGATTTTTCCAACTAGACTAAAATCAGTTATTGATCTGATATTTTCGCCTAGCAATGTAGTTCAAAATGTGAAGACACATACTCCCTTCAGCTCTTCTGACCACAGTGTAATAACTTTTGAAGCCTCTTTTGACTACTCAGCATGTTCATTCCGTATCCCGATTTTCACAGTGCTGATTTTTCCAAAATAAATACTGCTTTGCAACATATCAACTGGCATGAAACCTTCGCAAGGTATGCATCCGTTGACGATCTTTACTACCGTTTCTGTAAGGTGATGTACCAAATTCTGCCCGAATATGTGCCTTTTCGTTTTGAACCCTTGCCCGCAAAATATCCAGTTCATATCCAAAACTTGATTGAACAGAAAACCAAGCTTTTCTCGAATTTGCAGGACCCATTGTCCAATCAGCTTTATAAAAAACTCTGCAAGGACATTAGCAGTCACATCAAAAAAATCTGTAGCCTACGTGATCGGCACTTTTCGAAGTACAATGCAAGAAAACTCTATAAATACTTCAGATATAAAACTAAAGGTCAACAAAAACTTTCTTTTTTGGCTGACGAATGCGGAAATGTTCAGTTAAGCGACAAAGAAAAAGCGCAAGCGCTAGGAGAGTTTTTTGCTAACTTTTTTGTGAAAAATCCCCAACAGTACGGATGGATATCCAAATTCGTTCTATGATTCTACTGAAGGCCTAGAAACGTGCTGCTCTGGAGTATTTATAGATTCTGCAAAAGTTTATAACGTAATGCGAAAACTTAAAGCCACTAGTACAACTTCTTATAATGGCGTTCCACAAATTATTATTCGAAAGTGCGCATGGGCCCTATCTTTCCTTCTCACTTTCTTGTTCAATGCATCTCTAGCACTGGGACAAGTTCCTAGGATTTGGAAGGAGGCGCTGGTAACACCTATTCCTAAGCACGAAAATGACAATGCTATTTCAAATTTTCGTCCTATAAGTATTACCGCGCCTACCGAAAAAATTCTTGAGCGAATACTGAAAGACTGCCTCTTTGAATGGCTAAATAGAAACTTTTTCCATCTGTTTAATATGGGTTCCTTTTAGGAGGTTCCACAACATCTTTGCTATCAGATTCATTATTTGATTGGATCAGCGCTTTGAACCAGGGTAAATCAGTCATTGTCATATTCTTCGATTTATCTAAGGCGTTTCGCAGGGTATCATGCTAACATAAGTTACTTTCGAAGCTAGATAATTATGGGATTCGGGGACAGTTGCATGCTTGGCTCGCTTCTTATCTGCAAGATAGGGGTATAAGTGTACGCGTAGGAAGTTCTTTTTCGACAAAACTTCCATGCTCAGAGTGGAGTTCCCCAAGGTGGCATACTCTCACCACTCCTCTTCCTTGCTTACACTGCAGATCTGTCACCGTTATTGAAGACCCAACCGGGTATTAAGATCCTGTTTGCAGACGATACAAAGGTCTACTTTTGTTACGATGACAGAGAAAGAGCTGAAGCTCATCAGGCACTTTCCTCTTCCATAGAAAAAATGACTCTCTGGTCCAAAACTTGGGGCCTCCCTGTCAATCCTGCCAAATCGATTCGCACTTGGGCAACTCTCCTAATTCTTCTTATGTCTATGATGCGATCAGCTTGGAGAATTGCAGCAGTATCAGAGATCAAGGCGTCATTGTGGATGATCAACATGGTTTTTCCCTTCACTTCAGCTCGGTTACTAAGAAAGCTCTCTCTATCCTTTTTCTCATACTGAGGAGTACCTATAGTAATAATCAATATCTTTTGTTTAAGCTGTATAAAACCTATGTTTTGAAACACTTGGAATACGCCTCCCCAGTTTGGAGCCCATTTTTGAAAAAGAATATTGAGAAACTAGAAAAGGTGCAAAAAACTTTCACCAGAATGTATACTATCGGTGCCATCCATCACCTGACTATCCTCATCTCTACCCTCTTACAATACTAGACTATCCGTGCTGAAAATGCATAGTCTAAAGTACAGGCGGGTATGCAATGACTTAATATTCTGTTTCCGCATCCTCCGCCTTGAGACGAGGTTGAAACCTAGTCAGTATTGGATCTTCAGACCGTGCGGAAATCGGACGGGAGGGTTAGGTTTGTGTTATCGAAAGTTGGGAAGCAAAATCTTTTCCACGGCTTTCAACTCACTCGTATGTCGCGCTATAAGTTGGTTCAGGCTTTTACCTAGGGCCTGACCTCTTCCGAGAATTCTGTCCAATTTCGAAAAAAGCTTGCGTCAATGGATGTTTTGCAAACCCTGAAAATTGCAAATGTTTGATTTTGAGAGGACTTGTTGTCACTTTTTGTGAAGAATGTTGTTGTTTTGTTTCGCAACAAGCTAATTAGATGATGATGATTTTAGGATTTTGTTGTGTCTATGGAGTTTTGAAAGGTAAGACAGGTTTGCAGTCTCTTCGCCTGGAACGTCGTTCGAGGAATTCAGAGTTGGCGAGCCCTCTTCCTTGAGGTCCCCCCTTCTCGCTCGCCCAGGGAAGTGGTCAGCCAGCCCTGGTACTTTCGGCCATACCTTGCGTCCGGGTAAGGGAACAGGAAATCAGAGAGGACTTGTTTACAGAAGAGGGAGAAGTCATGCACTCCAGCTGGAGACTCTTATCCCCTGTCTCTCACTAACTAGCTGAAACTGCGCGTGTTTACTTGTGCTATGTTTTTTTTCTAAATTTGGCACACCGTTGGTGTATTATAAATAAATAAATAAATAAAATTTCTTTGCGAATGTCTCATACTGCAGTTTTGAAGCAAAACACAAATCATTGAACATTATGACCTGTCAGCCTTGATTCTTTGCATCACTTTACAGTGAACCGCTGCTCGAAACTGCGCAAAAATAGTTGTGCCTTGTTTCTAACCAAGAAGTAAAGTTCTCTTTCAATAGTTGGTTTAGTCTAAGATTCTAGGATACGTGGTCTTCCAAAAATCGGTTGGAGAGATTGAAGGCAATGCGCACAACAGTGACATTGCGGACATTTTTGTGATAATAGTCTTTTCTACTAAATATGAAGACGGACGCAAAAGACTAAAATTGATTTATAGCAAGACAAACATTTAACGTTTATTGTAGAGCGTAACAATTTAGAAAGCTTCTTTCCTGAGCTACTTCAATAAAAAAAATTTTAAAAAATTTTGGCTATAGGGGTTAACTAGATCAAATTTCGTCAAAAAATTCGTCTTTGAATTCGTCACATTCTGGAGGACGTGGTTTCAAATAACGCACGCAGAGGACTCTTAGAAATTCTTCGTCGGCAATTGGCTCTAAGACTCCATTGAAAAATATCGTTGGTACCTGAGTTTAAACGTTTGGTTTCTACGCGTTTCGCGTTTCGCGTAAAACTATAAGTTAGTCTCTTACTCTCTGAATAATTGGCACCATACGCTCCTGTACGGTTCCGTGCTGAGCCAGTAATCGTCGACCTGTGCTGCCGTGCGCACAGTCAAGCACACTACAATGTATATGGGTACTTTTCCGTTATCCGGACCCATTTCATCAAAAGGCTCTCATAATATACGTTCTTTAGTCCAAGAATAATTATTCATAGATTCCACGAGACTGCCTCCTTGCCACGTGTCACGAAAAAATTGACATGTTTTGGTCCATTTTGACATGTTTTTTTCGAAATCATTTCCAGTGAGATAAAAGAGAATTTGCGGTCATTTCAAAGCTGTTTAAGTGTTTTACATAAGCACAAAACAATCAAGAACCTATTCCAGAAAATCTTTCTTGCTTTTAGCAGTGATTCAAAAATTATTTCTCTTGAAACCCCTTCCGCCATGCGAATTTAGCCGAAGACTGTAAATGATAGCTTGAAGTTCCTTGCTGCTGCTCATTTGGTCTTTTAAATGACGGAATCCTAGCGCATTTCTCTACCCTCAGCAAGTCTAATCTGTTCATCGATGATAGTATGTCGTTATTATCATAACAATGTTCACTTTGAAACTGTTTGAACGAAATGAGGTCAAATTATTCAAAAAACAGATTGAACTTACATCGCAAGGTAGGGTAACACAAACTCTTGGTAAAACCTGTTAAACATGTAGATGACATGTCAAATTTTTTTGACACGTGGCAGAAGGTTGACACTCCTTCCTGCGAAGCTGGGACAGAATATGGTACAAGGATAGAAGCCATATCTTTCTTTGAAAAAATGGGTCCGGATAACGGAAAAGTACCTGTATATGTGCCAAATTCAAAATTATCTGGTACGTGCAACTTTACCGTTCGATGTCGAGCGGCCTAGACAGTCTGACGCTGTGTGCGCACTCAGCCACGGATTGGTTGAGCTCGGTGCTACCCTGTGTGCAAGTCACTGTAAACAAAAATAACTGAAATTAAACATTGCAGCGAAGTCTTGAACTTGCCTAATTCTAGCTGCTCTTTCGTATCTTGTACAGCATCAAGAATACAAGACTGCATAGCATTTTTTGAACAAGATATTCTCCAAGGACGGCAAGTACATCTAAAAAACTCAAACATATGGGAGTGATATTAGGCCCATAGGAGCCATTAGGTGAACCATTTGAGCAATTGAGCTGCTATAAGAATTGAGATAGAAAACGAAGCTATCACAATTTACACTTGTTCACGGTCTCGAGAATGCACTGCGGGCACTTTGGTGAAGGAAGGTAAGGAAATCTTATCAAAGCTAATAATTGTGACGATTACAACTTAAAACTTCTACTACAGTCATTTTGGTTATATTTGTACTAGCTGGCAACCCGGGTCTTGCCCGGGTGTCATAAGCCATGCAATCAAAAGAAAGACGGAAGAGCGCTTAAACAGCGCAGTATTCTGCTTTGCTACAATAGCTTGCGACTTTCCATCTTTCATCCGCTTCCACCTGTTTCATTCTTGCATCCCCCCCCCACTTCTCCTTTGTTCTGCAGCAACCCATATCCTCCTACTAGACGCATTGTAACTGCAAATGCTTACCTCAAAGCAGCATCATCTGTAAGTACTACACCCTGCTGACCGCGAGATAAAAATGATCTCTACTGCAGTTGCTCACACGCAAGTGTGGAAGCTGTTTGTTAGCGGATGATAGGGCTCTAAATTCAAAAGTACCAGAGAGGATCAATAGAAGGCACGAATCGCTACGAAAAGTGTCCTATAATGCGCTGGGGTTGAAAACATATGTATGCTAAGTTTGGCGCTTTCTCCGGCCATGCAAATTATAGGCAAGCGGGCATCGGAAAAATAGTTTGCTGATTTCTTGCGGTCCGCTTGTAGGTATTTGGAGAATGTTAGGCATGGGCAAACGTTTAAGGATTATTCTTAGGTTAGTTGCGGCGCAGTGGCCGCATTCCCGTAGACTTTCCGCGTGAATATGCAAAAATGTTGGGGGCCGCACGGTCTTTTTGAAGAACCGAACAGCCCATAGGTACCTTCCGCTGAGAGAAGGTTCCTCAAACTCGAATGATCAAACTATCGATGACACCTCTGCCACACAAAGTCTCACCTTCGCCCGGAGTACGCCCGAAATTGCGTACAAAGAGTTCGAGTGCCTGCTGAAAGTTTGGTCAGCGCTCGCATAAATTTCTATATTGCTGCCCGCTGGCAGAACATGGAAGTACCGCTTGCTGAAGGTTCGGCCACACCCCAAAATTCTGCTGACCGCTTGCAGAAAGGCGCGAGTTTGCGGACCGCCTGCCCCAGGCGATTATTTCAGTTGTTTTACAAAGATTCATACTCGGAACATGGTTCTCAAAGGCATACTTACGAATTTTGAGTTTTATACATAGAGATAGATAAATGAACTGCCTTATTCGCATTTTTGCTTAAATGTTCAAAGTGAAATTTTTATCCAAATTATACCCGCCATTCTAGTTAAAAAAGCGAAGCGATATCAGAATATGAAAAGCAGAGATGTTTTCTGTAAAAGTACTCACTCTCTCACACCAGTTTCGGTACAATTGATATATCTTGGTGTGCCATATGGATGATAACGTACACGAAGGCGGTGACCAAGCACGTTGTATGTCGGAATAAGCTGTTCTTGTAAGAATCTGAACGCATACGTATTTACTTCTGCTTTAATCAAAGCTATTGTTCTCACTTAGTTGTAGGATAGCATCTCGACGTGCCAAAAACTTCCACTTCAACGACGTTTCCAGTGCTTCCGCCTTTCGACGGATCGTCTGAGATAGCGTTGGAGACCTCGAAGGTCTCACCGACAAAGAGGAGGACTGCTATCGCTTGTAGGAGCATGGCCTTCGAGAACTCGTTCATTACATAAATGTCAAGATCGAGATTGAAAACAACATTTCTGTGCACGAGTTTTCTTCCGTAACAAAGGGCAGATCGGCAAATAATTCAAAACTGGATGATTATCCAATAAGACAGGTACCAGTAATCAAGTACAAAACGCTACCGCTGTTCACATTTGGGGTGCAGGCGAGTTTGATGTATCTGTTGTTTTCGTTCGTTAATATATAGTCATGTAAAAACAGCACCATTACTTTCAAAAACGCCAGCCGGTTCTTTGAGTAGATAAAGAACTATGGATACAGAACTGGAAAGACAATGAGACTTGTTGATACGAATCTGCTTGTTTTGTTCACATGGATGTAGTGAGTAAGAGTGAATCAGGAAGTTGACACTTACACTGAAGATTTGCTGCAATACGTCTGCCAAACTATACAGTTGATTGAGTTCCAGGGGTGGAGGATTGTACGTCGTTGAATGTGGGTGTGGCGCAGACTTCTTGCAAGAATACACCTCTATGCATGCGCAAGGATGCGTATTTGTTGCAAATGGCTGCGGTTCCAGACTTCTGACGGGTGAGCATTCATAAATGCTTTCCCGTTCATTTATCGCATTTTGAAGCAATGCATTACTGTAACGCGATGCATTTATATTTATGGGCAACTGTATAGAAAGTTTTTTAACTTGGTGGTAAATTAGATGCCTCATGAGGTCCACAAATTGCTAATTTTTCTTGACCAGAGAGCACATAAAATAGTTTCACACCAGCGCGTTAATATGTTGTAACTCAGTAAAGAAACTTGTTTGAGATAGAGTAGGAAAAATTTATTTATATTTAGGTTTCATGATGTTCAAGTACTAAGTTTTATGATGTTCAAGTACATTCAATGTGTAATACGGTGTTTCCGTGCAGCCGATAAAAAGCAAAAAATATTAGTGAGCGCAGAATTTGAAAGTGGGCGCTTGTTACCAAAATTTTGCTTTAACATCTCCATCTTATCTGCACTATATCACATTGTCTTAAGGTGATTTCAGAGCTATGTTAAGAATGCTTCTAATGTTGGAGGTCAACCGTTTCACATTCAGGGTATGGTCTGAGGTAGCATCCGGATATTTCAGAAACGAAGCTCTTGACAAGGTAAAATATTCGAATACTTCAAATAATAGTTTCAGAGTATAGCTTCAGATCAGTGTGGCAAACGGTGGTTGTCCACGAAAGTGAAGAAAAAATAATGAAAGGCGAAAGACTTCAATATCACATTGTTTGACCCTTTGGACCTGAGTTCTTGCAAACAAGCAAAGAAGCCTCTCTCCTATGGTTTTTTAATCATTACCATATTAAAACATTGCAGCGGAGTTTGGAGTTTCTTTACCATATGAACTATTTTTTGATTTTTTAATTTATTGTTTTGCGTTTATTTTTGGTTTCCAAATCTTCGTCTTCGTCATGTAGACCCGCGAACAGTTAGCAACTACATTTGCACAACATCGTACTCAAATCTTCTGATATTATTATGGGTATTTTTTTTGCTAATAACCGAGATACTAAAACGGCGCTGAAGACGGCGCAAGGTATTGATTGGTTGCAATCCACTTGTATACAGATACGTATTTAACGCTGATAGGAAAACAAATGAACACGCGGTTTCAAAGCTACATTTGGAAGGCAAAGGCTATATAAAGCGATCTATATCAACGAGTAGTAAATGTATGCTCTTGCGCCAGTACAGCAGGCCTCTGAATTGATAGTGGCAATTGTCACCACCAGGTCCGAGAGTGTTAACCATATCCGACAGGGATGGCGAAACTCGGGATAGCTCAAGTAGGGCAAGCTTTTAGGTCAAAAAACATTTTTTAATCGAAGTTTCTGAAAAGGTTGTGTGTGAAAAAAAGGAAGTTCTGATTATACTTAGCCAGATAAACCCAGAAAACACAGCTCTGTTGATCGATATTCTTCATGTTAATTTGTCTTTCTTTCGACCATTTTTGAAGCTCGCACACACTTTGTAGCTTGAAGTTACGCGTAATGTAAGCAACTAGATTATATCGATTCTGCATAAGGTGGCAGGTTGCGACTGCGATCACACATGTGTGAAGCTGTGTATAGCCAAAGATAACGCCTTCTGTATTTTTTTCACTTGAAGAGTTTCTTTTAATTCAGTGAAGGGGAAAAAAGAACGCTTGTTATTGCCGAACCATTCATTTAGTACCAATAAATGGGATAGCAGCGAATGAACTGAACGAAGAGGACGGAACAGTGTGCCGGAAAAGAGGTAACGGCATTATAAGCATCTTGGTTCCACTCATCAATACAGCAAAAAATAGGTTTCAAAGATTACAGGAAGCTGAAGAACTAAGAGAGATACTCGCTGCAGTGTTTGGCCGTCATTCCTCATAGAATCACGGACAAACTTATACAGCCTTTCCTTGCCATGGTATAATTTGACTAAGTGATTGGAACAAGTTACCACATTAACTGAAATTATTGGCGGCCGTATGACAGGAAATTCGAAATGAGAATAAGTTTTACTAAGGATGACGAAGAGAAAATGTGAACTTACAGATGTCACCTACAATTTAAAAAAAATAGTCTAATCCTTTCTTAGTGTTGCTAAGACTTTTTAACTTCATTCAGGACAAAAATGTCGTTTGCTGCTTGGACACATCATCCACTTATAGAGACATCACCTGCCGTTCCGATAATCCTGTTTGATGTCTAGTGAAGTTTTTTTACGCTCGGTTTACATCTGTACCGTAATTCTAACTCTGCGGTGAACCTTGGCTAGCCTTGCGGTAAATGAACGGTCAAAAAAACAAGCAAAGAAGTCTGCTTCCGGTCGTAGCAACCAGTTTACAGGACAGTGTTTCTGCAATGTTGATAAAATCGGTCATCCATCTTGTGCACGGAGCTGTAACCGATTCGCTTGCAACACCAGACAGCGAGCCCTCTGAAGGGCGAGCTAAAACAGTTGCTTATGCATTATTCTGTATGAAAGCACTTGGTAAGAAGCACTCAAAGATTTAGTAGCGTTATGCAGCGATGCTCAAAAAAGGGTTGGGAACTGGTGAGAACGCTTCAACTGTGCATGGTTTTCCAGATCAAGTCTTTAAATTGATCTCTTCCTCAAAAACCTACGGAACTAACTTTGCGTACGGCACGCACCATAAAAACATCGTGAGAAAATGCTAAATTGGATTTTACCGTAAACTGATGTGCACTGTTGCGACTTGCAGCGCTGCTTTGACTAAGAATCAAACTCAATCCAAGAAAGCAATCAAGCATTTTAATTTTTCGGTAGTGTTCTAAGCTCTACGGACGGCAAGGACTTGCTGTGTGACGCGCACTGAGTTAGCACCAGGGTCAAGCAAGGGGTGTGGCGCACGATCGCTGGTTACGACCCCCCCCCCCCCTGATTGCTGTCTTAATAAGACTCCCCCCCCCTTGAACTATATACCTAAGATAGCATTACCAGAGTTGAGAAAGAGGTCAGGCACAAGTCTTTCGCGAACAACCTTCCCCCCTCCCATGAAAGCCCTCAAACGACCCCTTCTTCCTCCTCTTAACCTCTGAACCTCAAAGTGTGACATTCTGGAGGACACCAGCTTTTTTCTAGAGAGTTTTCAGATTTCTGAGAGCTGTACGCCCGATTTTCTGTGACTGCACTTTACAATCACACGTAATTTGACGGCTGATTTTGATCTGAATGGGCATATTGAAAGGGCCATAATTTTCTTATGGGTGGGGCGTTCGGCTCCAAATTTCCAGTGTAGCAAGAAAAAGCTATGTGCTCAATACTCATACCAGCAATGGAGCGCTTTCTGGATTTTGAAGGCAAGTTAAGGGGGTGTGCCGCACCCCATTAACTATATCAAAAAAACATTTTTAGCGGACGGTATTTATATGAATCGATAGCCTAAACCTTGTAGATTCCATAGGACTGTTTGGAGCCTGATTCGTCTTCTTAGCTCTGAGTAATATTTGGTGAAAGCACAGCGATCAAAAGCGAAAAATGAGGAAAACGAGATTTTGGTTGGCTTCTAATTCCACGGTTTGGAGGTCTTCTGAAGCGGGATTCCTGAGCTGGACAAAGAAGGAGTAGTACTTTGTCTTGAGTGCAAAAACGAATAGCTAATTCACCTTTGAAACAAAGTTAACCATGTTGGAATTTGACCATTTCATTTAGGTAGCCTAGTATCTTGAATCTTTAGAATTCGCTCACACTTTGTCTGCAGGGGTTAATTGACATGCTAATTATGGATATGATCAGGGTTGAGCAAGAGGTCAGGCACAAGTCTTTCCAAAACGACCCCCCCCCCCAGTGAAAGCCCCTAAACGACCCCTCTGCTTCACCTCCAGGACCTCAGGCTGTGATAATTTGAAGAGATCAGCCGTTTTTGGGAGGTTCTTGTTTTTTGGAGGTCTGTAGGTCGACTTTCTGCGATTGCACAGCACACGCAACTTGACGGCAAGTTTTGGATTTTGGATAGCCCTACTTTTAGAGCTATAATTCCCACAGGGGTGTATTGTTTGGCTCCAAATTTGCAGTATTGCAAGAAGAGGCTTTGAGTTCAATACTCATAGCAGAAATGGAGCGATTTTTAGATTTTGAAAACAAGTTAATCGGGTCAGGCGCAACCCCTCAAAAGCTCAGGCGGCCTGACCTTTTGTGGGGTTGCGCCTGACCCGATTAACTTTATCATTGAAGAAGCTTTTTTATTCAAGTTTTATGTGAATCGCTAGCACAACCCTCGAAAATTCCACAGTAAGTGTTTGGACTTGATTCGACTTGTTTCGGCCTTGTGGTAATCCGTGGAGTTAAAGCAGTCATGGCGAAAAACGCGCCGGTCGGAATTTTGGCATTATTTCTTACTCCACTATTTGCAAGCGATACAAAGCGCGATTTTTAGCCTAGACTAGTGGGGAACAATACTTTGTTACGAGTACAAAAAAATTGACTTTTCTCACTTTTGAAAACAAGTTAATCATGTTTGAAAATCAAGCTTTTTAGTCGTTGAGAAACACTAGATAATGCAGTAAATAATGGTTTGTAGGGCTCATAGAGGTAATTTGACGTGCTCGGAAATGATACCCATTTCACACAGCAAGCTTCCTTGATGAATTTATAATATGTCAAGGTAGAAGATGAAGATTTGAGTTTTGGCCGAAACTTCGAATGTGAAATCAATCAGTATGCTGTTTAAGACCGTTCATTCCTTCAGTACTGGTGAGGTCGCGATATCCACTAAACTAGCGCTTTTCTTCTTCACCTTAATCCTAGTATCTCCTCAATCGAACGAATTCGATTCCTAATCACGACCCCCCCCCCCTCTGTCTTACCCTAGTACGACCCCCCAGGTCGGGCGCGCCTGACCCCACGCTCAACCCTGGATATGATACGAATATCATCTTATCACTATTATCAGATTACCCAACTACGACCCCCTTCCCTTTTGACTCCTCAATACGACCCCCCAAGGGTGGCGTGCCGCACCCCACGCTTGACCCTGGTTAGCACTGAGTTGCTTGTGAAGTCAAATGCGTCAATAACAATGGTAAAGGATGCCTTCTTCATCGTTAATTGTTGTTTTTATTTCTCTACAACGTAGTTCCCTCATGCATTTGGTCTTTCTACCGCACGTTGCGACTTCTCGACTTTATGATAACAGCCGCTCTATCGCCGCTATGCGGCAACATGCACCGACTTAATACATAAATGTGGAACAATAATAAATTAAAAGAGGAGGTTGATTGGGGAGTGGGAAATGTTTTTCTCGCAGTCAGCATGGTTACTTACCCTCTCTGCCAATTCTTTTCCCTCCAGGACGCAAAATGCTACAGTAAAGTTGATAAAGCCATTCGATAATATCTGGTAGAAAATTTTAGTAACATTCGCCCCGCCCCACAATCTATATTTGCAATGTTTGGTGTAAATTTGTTTTTTTCGATCCCTTAGGCCGGCCAAATGAAAACCTGAGCAAAAAACGCGCAAAATCAATAAAATTAATGACAATCGATAATCCTCACTGAAAAAGCCTAGTGGCATCCTTCCCGTTTCGAGGTTCATGTCATCGATGTTTGGTTCAGACTCCTTCTTTCTAACATTTTAGGCCGGTCATAACAAAGCCGCTTAAGCAAAAACAAAATCAATAAATCAATGAGATCAATTAATAGTTTTCCGGAAAAGCTTAGTGAAATCCGAACCGCCCCAAACTTCACATATGTGAAAATTGGTGCCACCTCAGTTCTTTATCATTTTGAGCCGGTCATGAATGTAACATCAGCCGGACATATAAAAACTTCTTATGC